CCAATTCCCAAACCTGACAAGTCCGCAGGTAATCTCTTTGAAGGGCATGATCAAGGTACCTCGCTCACCCTGGGGTTCGGCGAGCAAGACCGATAGAATTGCTTTTTACAGGTCCTTTTCTAGCGGCGTGCCGCAAGATGCAGCGCGTTCTGGCATGATCAATGATCAACAGAGTTTGCTTTCTCATATGCAGGCCTTGGCCGACGTCCCACAGGACATGCAGGTCGATGATAGTCGGGCCTCCATGACGGGTCGTCGACTCACCACAACGCGCAATGTCACTCCTCCAACTGAGGGTTCTCGTTGTGATCCAGGTCTTATACTGCATAACTCATCACCACATCATCAAGCTCGGACAGGTCGGAGACTCGGAAACACCTTTTCTAATCTGACGGTTCGTCAACTTGACTCGTCATTGGTGGATGCATCCTTCGAGAACAACCCAATCTCGGTGGTTGGAAGATCTGACAAGCCCTGGCCCGACGTTATACACAGACGACACCAATGCACCAGCCAGCCGGGACTCGCCGCACGCCAGGTCATCACCGGGGCCGTGACAGGTGCTCTCAAAAGGCATCCAGACACGTCGTACGAGCTGCAATCACCCAAATGAGCCCTATGCCATATTCGACTCCCTACATGCAATCAAGACAAATCATCTTGTCCGACCATCCCATAGCTCTGGGAATTCAGTGGATACTTTACGACCACGGCCGTCGCTCGCGAGGTACAAGTGACGGCGGTGACAATGGTTTCCCCTTCTGGAGCTCCAGATCGGATCTTAAGGCGGCAGTGGTGACCCTTGTCACGGCCCTGTGTATCGCGTCGCGCAAGCTGCTCCCTATTAAGTAACACAGCCGGTTGGGACGGCCGTGCTGGATACAGTACCGCCCTGGCCCGTCTGGGTCCTGAAAGTGACACAGACATATCAGATGGAGATCAAGAGGTCCACCGACCGGTAGTTCCATTCAGAACAGTTCTCGTGTAATTGGGAACGGCAATGTCGAGTTGTCGGCAACGTCAGTCGTTGCAGCCGCCTTCGCTCCGCACGTCAATTGCAAACCTTCAGAGTGACAGCAACGGTCAGCATTAGCGTCGCAGGGGAATATTGTTCCTGGGCTAAGATTGAAGCCTAAAGGACCGCGCGCTCTTCAGCCGGTAACATCGGGCGCGTGTCCACAGGGGGAAAGAAAGGAGCAGCAGACTTTGTTGACAGCCTGCGGCTCCAATCTTGCCATCACCACCTTCCACATCCCTCACACCCACAGGGGCAGAAGCATGTTTTGCTTGACTTCATCGTCCGTCGCCGGTAATGTTGACGGACTGCAATCATGGACGAAATCTTGGGTTTTGACAAAGATCGACCGCAGGGCTGCAGACTACATAGAAGGGAGGCGAGGTCCAGGCCCAGATCCAAGCGCACGACGCAGAGTCAGGAGAATCGTGCAAAGATAATTGGAAAGCCACCTATATTAACACTCCACTGCAGGCTGCTCTGAGGACACTTTGACGAGATATCTCGGCTCATTATGAAGTCATTTTTTGACGGCAAATCTCGCTGGCCGGCGAAGGCTCCATTCTTCAACCCCCCCAGCCGATGGGAGTCACATCGATTTCCTGCTCCCCCACCGCCCACCAAAATTGCAAAGGGGATCTGTCAAGTTTGACAGCCGCAAGGGGACGACAGATCCAACGCTGATGGATCGGACAAGGTCGGTTCGAGTGGAGTGGCAAAGTGGCTAGGAGGTTTAACATCCAAACATACCCTCTGCCGACACCATGTTCCCCGTCTCCTCCAAGGATTAGCCAGGAAGAGGGGAGCAGCGGTCATCACTCTGGACGCAAGACTGGCGTGACTGACAAGGATTCGTGGGGAGTCAAAAGAGGGCTCTGCCTCTTGGGATTCCCGGCCCCTGAGGCCGAAGTCAGGGGCCCGTCAGAATCTCACCCACTCGCAACTTGTCAAGCCGCCCCGCGGACAATGACCGCAGGCAAAACTGGGCTCGCGGCAGACCTGGTCCCGGAAGCCGTGCTCAATTGCCAATCTTCTGGCGTTGCTTCCGGACATCTGAAACGGAACAGGCAGGTCCGACCGGTGCCAAAATGCTGCTTGTTCTCCACTCGTTTGCCTTGATCTGATCCCGGCCAACCGACGTTTGGCTGCCAATCGGGCCCCTGGGGGAGCCCTTGGAGACGGAGAGCAGGCCCAGCAGGGCCAACCATCACGACAAGAGTTCACTTCACCCTCCTTTTCTCTCGAGGCTTCCCGCTTCCTCTCTCTCGACCCCCCGGTGCCAAAACCCAGCCTTAATGTGGTCCAAGCGTCCTGTCAAAATCGTAAAAAAAACTTCAATTGAACTGGGGGTGGTGTCAGGGGGGATCCTAGCACCTGTCACGATTTCTGGCGAGCGAATCGCATCCCGTTCTCGCATTCAGTCCAGAATGCGAAATCCCAACGACAGCACAGCGGCGGGCCTTGACTCCGTCATAACCTTCGACGACGTCTCATCAAAAGCACAATTTCAAAGCCAAAAAGACATCAAAACATGGGACCGGACCAAGCGCAACGCTTACGCACGTTAAAAAACGACATGTGTCTCTCGACTGCAGAAACCTTTGACAGCCCCTCAAACGGGATCTGCAGTATTTCTTCAACCTCGAGTTAGCGGTTTTCTGATTTGCCTCTCGTACAGATTCTCGTTATGATGTTATGTCGTGCATATTCATGACCCGCTGTCAAACCACCGTCTGTCGATGTTCGGGTCCTCTCGCCTTCATCATCCGCCCGCCGACAGGGATGAAGCCTCATACTTTCTTTTTCCTTCACTCTCACAAAATGGGACGGTTTGTACAGGATCTCGCTGCTCATCCTGTCCATCGGACCCCTCACACGCACACGCCCACCCCCCTCCTTTGAATTTGGCAGAAAAGGGGGGGCCAACTTGTCACATCCGTCAGCCAGTCGCAACTTGTAGATTTTTCTGGCAGGACCGTTGAGGCGGCGGGCTGCGGACTGCGCCACCCTTTGACTTGTCTCGAAAAGAAACATCAGTCCGGCCCCCAGGGCCCGGATGTTCGCTGAAGTGCTTTCTCTTCTGGACGACACTTGCGAGTCTTGAGGTGAAGCTTGTCACAGACAACCGACCAAACCCAACACGCCGGCCACACTCACAACTCTCGCGTGCGCTGTCAACAACGGACGTTTTTGACACCCGGTCAGAGCAATTTGTCATTGATCATCTTGTCCCAAGGCCTCGTCTGCCCGCACACGGGATTGGTCAGTCGGGCTCTGACAGCTCGGCAGGAACATTGGACTTTGGGCTTGCATTCACCACACAGATGCTCTCTTCCAAGCGTTTTCTGCCCCGGACGTTCGTCCATGCCATGCGCTCTTCCCGCAAGAAGGCTGAGCAGACAGGACCCGTAGACACTAGACACCACACTCACATACACATCAGACCAGGCACTCGAGACACGACAGCTGGCTGCTGTGCCTGGCGAAATTTAGACTGAAGAGAGACTGAGCCGTGACTAACACTAAACGTTGTTGCCCCTTGGTGTACACACTACTGCTTTCACCTGGGATGCAAAAACCTGCCAGATGAGCGAGGGGCCCGAGCAAGTCGCGTTGTGCTGTGCTGTAGTAGCCTCATTACCGCACCTAGCCCTATATCTGGCCTACCATGTATCCGTGATATAAACAAAACGGCACTTTGGGAAACGCGGCACGGCGGATCACCACAGATGAATTGGATCGATACTGTAACTGCCGCAAGCTACTAATCAATCTAGCCCCCAATTTTTCTGCCCTCCCCCCTTTTTTTTTTTTCTTCCGTCAGACTTGCCCTCCTACTTCCTTGGACGGGAACGCAATGAATTGGCGGAGAATTTCCTCAGAGAGAAGGGAAGGACCTTGCGGCCGTCGAGGAAAGGGAAAACCAGTCCAGCCAGTTACAAGTGACTTTCCGGCCGTCGTAGGTAGACTTCTGCGTGTACAGCATAGTATGTGTCTGCTTCTGTTGCCAGATTCTCTCAAATCCCGAGCGAAGAATGGATGACGTGATACCCGAGCATCCGGGAACAAGGAACAAGGAACAAAACCCAAGCTGCGAAAACAGAAGAAGGCAAAAACAACAGAAAATCCAAAACGTCCCAAAAAGGGATGCGATTTCGCCAGTGATTTGACATTCCGTCGAGACGAACGGGCTACTCCAAGTGGATGTGATGTCTGTGTGTGTGTTGTGTGTGTGTGCGCGCCCGTCCGCCACCCCCGTGTCTTCGGGATGTTTCTGTCTGGGGGCCGTTGTCAGGCGGAAAGAAGCATGTCTCTCGCACACGGCACGCGTGCGGGCGGCCGGTGGAAGGGATCCCCCCTCCATAGCATTCTGCCTCTCCCAGGCACAACTCTCATAGGTTGGTGGGAGGGTATCTCCCTGTCGCGAAAGGGGAACGAGCGAAGGAGGATGTGCAGACAGTGATGTACTCGAGTATATTCTCTCTGGGCGGGAAAAGGCTTCGTCAAGCAGGCTTTTTCGCTGTTGATGGCTATATCTCCAAACAAATATGCTACTCCCGCTCATCAGACGAAAGGGAAGAGGAAGGGTAGAACCCTACATAAAACCTCAAGAGGGGAAAAGAGAAGACGAAGACGAAGATGCCAAGGTATAGGGCGTATATGGTTGTCCCGATATTTTGTCCCGATGCAGTCCCTGTCCGACTCCGAACACCCATCATCATCATCATCATCGCCGACGAAAGATGACACGCCAACCTTACCCGGCCTGTACCCGAACTGTTGCGAACACCCGTCCACACCATCCATACCCCCAACCAAACCGTCCAGCCTTTGCCCTTGTGTGTGTGTATACCTGCTGCCTCCCTGATCCCAAACCGAATGAACATGGTTACAGTCCTTTCAAATAGTGAAGAGACCAGACAACCCCTCCTAATGGAATGAAGGGCCAACTGAGATGAACCTCACGACGCCGCCCGCTCTAAACTCATGCTCGCCGCAGAACCTTATTTAGGAAACCGCCCCGGCCCCTTTTGGGCGTTTCATCCCCCGTGACGACTGATTGTCGTTGCTGCTGCTGCTGGTGATGGTGGTCTTTTGTCGTCCCGTCTTTTCCTCCGAGGCCCGGATCGCTCGCTAGTTGCGCATCTCCCCTGTTGATCTTCACGTACGAATCGTCCGAAGACGCCCCAGCCGCCGCCGCCGCTGCTGCTGCCCCTGAGTCGAAGTAGCAACCCTCGGCGGCAAGTTTCGAGAGTCCCGGTGAAGTGTCGTTGGTTGGAGGTGTCGTATACAGGGCAGTAGTAGCTGTGGGTGTCGCGGCAGAAGTAGCTATAGACGAGGCTTGGGCGGGTATCCCCTGCCGGATGTGAGAGAGGCCTCTGTCGAGGTACTCGACGAGCGGTGCCTTTGTGTCAAAACCAAACGTTGTGCCACAGTCCTTGTCGCCACCCGCTCTGTCACTTCGCGTGGCAGGTGAGCCTGATCCATCATCGGGCTGGACAGGTGCAGCGGTAGGGGCGGCAGCTGGCGTCACGGGTGCGGAGGAGGCGACGGCGGTAGGGACGCCGCTGCTGCCGTGGACGACGTCCAGGGCTTTGCGGTAGAGGTCCGGGACGCGACGCCGGAACTCGGCTTCGAGGTCTAGTTCATGCTCTTCCATGGCTCGCGCGCGGTCAGAGCTGGCTGTAGGGTTTGACGCCGAGGATGAGGGGTTCACCCGTCCCTCCTCGCTGTCGATCTGAGTCAGCAGGTCATTGTATTGTAGCCGTCTCGCCGCGTCATCATCTTCTGACAGCATGTCTGTTGTTTGTTTATGGGCGTCCCGGCGGAGTGCTAATTCCGTGCGGGCTGCCCTGGCTTCGTTGGTCATCTTGGAACTCTCGATGGAGTTGCTATACGAGACCGAAAACTCCTTGTAGTGGCCCTTGAGCACGAAACATCGGCCCGGCCAGCCCCAGCTCTTGAACTTTGCAAAGAGCACGTCGGCGACGGGACACTCCCATACGGAGTCGACGGCGCGGGCGTAGACAACCAAGCAGTGCGCCGATCTCCACTCTCCAAACTTCCGTCCGCTATCGTGGTCGGCGAAGGCACGCTCAATCATGTCAAAGGGAGCATCTTGAATGAATCTCAGGGGCGCGCGGAGGTTGATTGCACCGCGTATATGAGACCTCTCGAATTCAGTCGGAGATCGGAGGTCAACCAAGAGGATCCTACTGGGTGGAAGGATATCAATTATTTTGTTGAGATGATGAGGTAGAATCATCTGGGCTCCTTGAGACGCCACGGGGGCTAGATCATCAATCTTGAGATTCTGAAATTGCTGGGAGACGATGTCTCGTTCCCGTCGATGATGGAACCAAGCCTGAAAGGTCAGCATATGCTCCTACACAACACACCGTAGAGTACCCACCTCGACATGCCACAACTCAACGCCTAAGTTGGAAGCAACAAAGTTCTTTTGATCGTCATTTGGCAAAGGTTCCTGATCGTAGTATTGTTGAAGCAGCGTCTCAATATGCTGCGAGAACTTGGGTGGTTCGGGGATATCCTGGAACACAGTCCTCCGTGAACTCCTCTGTTGGTTTGGAATCATTGTTCTCGATGTGATCTCGGCAGATGTCTGAGAGGACGACGAAAGCTGCCGCTGAAGACTGGCCAGGGATGCCGAGGAAGGTCCAGCTCTCAACAGCCCAGCAGGACCGCTCGTCGGCGATGACGACGGCGAGATAGCTTCGGCGGACGCCTGTTGCCTTGTGCCTACGTTCCGCCTAGAGGCTCGCCCCTCTCCGAGCGAATATGAACGCATGTCAGCTAGTTGCTGGCCAATCGTGCTGCCATGGTCTGTTGGGGCATAAGTGTAGGTGGTGTCCGAGAAAAACGTCTTCATTGACGCTGAATCGGGCTGTGTCCTGTCGAGCGTTGCACGAGAGACTCCCACAGGCACTTCGACCTCTGCCTTGTCTTTCTGACCTCCCTGTAGCATCATGTTGTTTGACCTGATGAAGGCTATGAAGGAAGTCGCATGGTCCTCCGGCAACAGGTCCCAGACCATTACCGGCATCGACAGCAAAAGCAATGTAGAATGGCTTTTGAACACCCCTTGAACCTTAACGTACTTTGCCATTGCTGGGAAATTCGAGAGCCACTGTTCCCAGGCATTGAGGTCCAGCTGTTGGTTATCCTCCAAAGCGAGGGAAATCATGACATGGGGCGTGTCCTCGTTTGGGTCTTCTGATACCGGCGCCCCGGGGCCTCGACCACCTGTCAACTGATCCGGGTTATCGCTTCCGTTAGCGGTTGTGTCCTGAGGAGGTGACGGTGGTCGAGCGTCCGGGGGGACAATCCGTGACATCTCGATACTGGGTGCTTTGTGATTTGTGGTCATCATGAAGTGGACTGGCGTTGACCTTGCCTCAAAGAGCTTGCCGTTGATAGTGATTGGTCTAGGATGTTTAAGACGAGCAAGAACCTCGGCATGCAGCATAGCGGCAGAAAAGGTGCGTAGCCTCCATTCCTGCAGTACTTCGATGAGGGCATTGGTGAAGGAGTAGCGACCTGGATCCGGGGCAATGGCGTCCCAGCTCGAGGCTGAGATGGTCTCGGTGATACTGTTGCCGTTGGGAAATGTAGCACTCGCAGCTCCAGCGCAGCAGTCAAGAAGGATGAGAACGTCAGAGGCAGAACGTTCTAGCAGAGTTTGAATAGCTGACCACTGCAGCCACGGAGAGTCGGGATTTCGTGTTCTAGCTCAGGTTAGAACCATCTACTACAAGACTTGACGTCACTTACGCGCACCAGGTGCTTTGCCTGGACTCGTCTATCCTTGCGTGGCCGCCGTAGTAGACCAAGAAAAGCGTATCTTGGGCCTCGTGGTCTTTGATCAGCTTGCCGACTTGCATCATGAGCTCAAGATGTGAGTTTTCGGAAGGAATGGCGAAGATGTCCGTGTTAAAGGCGTAGTCCTCGCGGAGGCAACGCTCCAAGTCCTCCAGCTCGGGCAGCACGAAGAGGTCATCGGAGCCCCAATGAAGCAACAAAGCCTGGACCTTTTTATATCTCTGTGATGATCTGCCCCTGTTTGGGAATGCTCGATTTGCAGACTAAGTGGACATCAGCAAGAGGCTTTGCCAAGAGATTTCACGGCGACTTACATCCTCCAAGGTCTGCACGAAGCTATCGAGATGTTTGACGTGGTAGCTCACGCGACTTGTGTCGTGCGTGGCAGTCCGGGGCGCATCGCCGGAGCTGGATCCATACTGGCCATCGCCAGCTTGTGAGTGTACTCTTCGCGACTGGTGTGTCGTGACTCTAGCACCTACAGTCGAGTCTGCACCACTGCTCACGCTGTTTCCATCGTACGGCCGGCGAGACCGGATGGTCACGTACGGCTGGTGGTCGCCCATGTTTGGCTGCGTCCCCTAGTGTTCGGTCGCAGTCCTTCTCCGTCTCCCCCTCTTCAAAGATTGGATGTAAGCGTCCGCAAATGCTGGAATATAGAGCGCGGGGTGTATTCGCTACTCGAGGATGGTGGTTTGCATGGCAATTGTGAAAAGTGGTGTTCGCTATGAAGGCCGAAGGAGCCCAAAGGTCTTCAGTTTCAATAGGGACGTCTGATGCATTGTCGGTGAGGATCGACAGATACCCCTCGGTCTCAAAAGAAGAGGGTGGACGTCGCCGGCGGTGTTTTCTGACGAGGTCTGGTTGTCTTCGGTCGGCATCTGGCGGGCTGAGGGCATCCCACTTCGGGTAGCTGTTAAATTGACCGTGTCGTTTTGTTATTTTGCCCGCGCTAAGCCTGTTTTAGCTGGAACTTTCGGAAAAACGCATCTGCCGGTGCCGAAAAAAAGCATAAGTCCCTCGAAGTACTACCTCCGTCGCGCGCATCTCTCTTCTTCCTATCTATCCCACAGGAAAAAAAACAGCCTTTCTACAGCCCTTCTACACGACAAAAAAGATATGTAAACGACATCGAAATCGCCTTTTTCTAGCCCGAAAATACTTTTTAAAATGCTTTACGCATTTTAAGTTAGACGCGTTGAAAAGTTAAGGGCTCTTTTAAAGTTATGCGGAAGATGTGGTGGTGTAGAAGGGGAAAAAAACAAACACGTTTCGTGCGCGACGCGGGCGCGGTACTTCTAACTTTGGTGGTGGTACCTCGCGGACGGCAACGGTAGTACATTGTTCCGGGCGCTATACTAGATCGGGTTAGCGCGGGCAAAATAACAAAACGACACGGTCAATTTAACAGTATCCCCACTTCGCGCCAGCGTCGGTAGCCAAAGTGGTTTAGCGTCAACCAGACGCCGGTGACCTAATGGGGTCGATTGGCAGGGGTCGCTGCACAATCAGTGCCGCTTTCTGCCACGTGCGCAAAAAGCTCTCGTGTGGCGCTGAGTGGCTAGGGAGGGAGCTTGGGTGCGTCCCGGCACTGGATGACCAGTGACATGCCGTTTGTACAGAGTTCAGCCACAAAACCCACTGGAGCTCAACCTGAGTCGCCCCCAATCTACTCCGTACGCTGTTGTGCACTCACCTCACTCTTTCGGTACCGAGGGAAGGTGTCCTCAGCAACGGGTCCGACGTCGATGCGTCACACTCATACACGTTCTTGCCCTTCACATCACCGAGAGCCCACTTGACGGTGCTACCTTGAATCTAATCTGATCCAGTTGTCGTTGCAAGGACTTTTGTCAAAACCACCTTCCAGGATTTCTGCTTGGGGCACAGTCTATCAACATGCGTCAGCGAATCACCTTCATCCACAAGCCCGGAAACGGAGTCCCCTTCGAAGCTCTCGAGATTAGCGATGCCGGCGTCAAAGGCCCGGAAATCAATGCCGTTCGCGAGGACAGAGTCACACTAGCTCTGGAGGAGCTTCCGGCCGAGCTCTCCCAGCTTCTGAGTGAGAGCCATGAGCTCCATATCCGATGGGTCACTCCTGAGACCTACGAGACTGTCACTCCCTTGAACTCAAGGGTATCACCGGGCTTTCATCTGTTTTATACACCCAAAAAGGAGGGGCAATGGGATGCGTGGGTATTTTTGTCCTGTCATAAAAAGCTGTATACTAACGTGATCTCAGAGCCAAATTGTGTGAAGCTCTCGGCGATGCATTTGGGGCTAGCGGATGTTCGTCGTCAGAGGTACGTGATTAGATACAACTTCAGTATCATTTCTTCTAATATTCAAACAGTCATTCACGAGTCTTCCGAATGACAGATTCTCTCATTCCGCAGCTTTCCAATACTACGAGCCGCTGGGCAACCTCACAAAGTTCATTCATTACACATCCCAGACGCTATGCCCAGCGTCAAACACGGCCTGCAAGTCCCGCGCCGAGGATCTTAAGACGGCGGCGTCCCTCGACATCTCCTATGACACCATCTCGCACGCCCTCAAAGTCACGGCACAATGGCCATACACTACCCATAAGATCGACGTCGCCTCAACGCCAAAGCACAGGACCGAGGTCGGCATTCTCACCACCGACTCCTCCGCGAAGCCGGAGCCCCACGAGATCGGTATGACCGGCGGCCTGACCGTCCTTGGCGAACATACGAAGCCCTCGCCCGTCCTCTTCAATGTGCCGGCACGTCACCGCCGCCATGACGAAGTGGCCGCGGGCTCTTCCTTCTCCGCCAAGTTCCTCGAGCCGACAGGCCTGCACCCCGCGCTACAGCTTACAGTCAGCTCAGCCCGGCCGCCCGTCGACGACGCTTACTGCGCCATCCACGCGCACTTCACACTCCCCAAGACCATCTTTGCGGACCGTTACCAGCTCGCAGACGACCTGTTCCTCCAATCCAAGAACCTCACCGCCTTGCGCTACTCCAGCTCGCCCGTCGACCTCGAGGCGCCAGCCTACGCGACGAAGCCATGGGGCTCAGGCGTTCTCCTCGAGCTCGCGCCCCCAACCGCGCAAGAAGAGGACACCGAATGGACGACCGAGATCCCGCTGCACCTGCGCTACCTCAAGCCAGCCGACGGCGGCTACACGGATCTCGAAGTCCCCCACCCAGCCGTGTTCTGGGCTTGCTCCTCGGAGGAAGGCACCAAGTTCCCCAGCAGCCCGTTTGAGCGCGTCAACTTGGGCTACGACGCGCTGTTCGGGCCGCGAACCGTCTTCTGGCACGTAGAGCCGGTCGGCGCTTCGGCCGGCGGGGGCGGGGGTGGTAGTCGGCTTACGAGCTCCGTGCGCGTGCCGGTTTTGGAGGCCGGGCAGGCGGGGTGGGTGCGGATGGGGACCGCGGGCGCGGTGATGCTGGGCTTCGCATGGGTTCTGTGGAGGCTCGTTGCCGCGTATTCCCGGACCGGATACGGCAAGGGTGCTGCTGCCAAGGCGGAGGAGAAGAAGACGCAGTAGCTTAAGCTGTTTTCCCGGTTTTCATTATGTTTTCCTTGCAGAATTTCCTTGGAATTTCAACGTCGCATGATTGCTTAATTAAAATGACGATCCACCGAAGAAACATGTTCCGAGCTACAGTGTTGCGCCGGATCGGCACGGTAAGGTGACAGGACGGATGTGGCGGAGCCGACCACTGACGCGGCGCAGCGGGACTTTATAGTGCCTACCTTGGGTATGATGTAGTAGTAGCAGCTAGACCTGCTGGAGCTATGTAAGCGCCAACGTCAATCTCAAAAGTGAGCCGGTCTTTTTCTCATTCACATATAGGGGCCTATCTGCTCGATGAAGCTCTCTCGTCGCCGGGTTCCGCCGTCGATGCAGCAGACATGCTCACGTACATTGTCGCCCTCGTGGCGTTCGTCGTCTTCTTCTCCGACCCGCTTCTCCGGATGCTGTCCCCGTCCGGAAGCCGTCGCGTCGTCCGCACGCCGCGGCCGCCAATGAATGAGTCGCTGCTCGCAATCGAGCACCCCAACGCCACAGTACTATCGTGTCCACCAGACACCTACACGGTGCACATCTTTTCAAAGGAGCCTTTAGTGTTGTACATTGAAGGGTTCGTCAGTCCGGACGAGAGGGCGCATCTTTTGGATGTTAGGTGAGACTCCATCCCTTGATTCGCTTCACTCATCTTTTGCATGACAAGTTTCATGATGAAGCGTGAGACTTGATTCTTGAGATATGAGGTGAGCTGACGATAAAAAAAAAGCCAACCTCTGTTTGAGCCATCAACCATCACCCACGATGGTGCCGGCGTACAGCGCGACACATCAATCAGAGAGTCCGAGGTGGCCATGATCCCACGCACCGACGGGGTCAGGTGCATCGAAGCCCGGGCCCGGTCGCTGCAGGGCTGGAGAGAGGAGCTGTGGATCGAGAGGCTGAGGACGCAGCGGTACGTCGAGGGAGGGCACTACTCGTACCACTTCGATTGGAGCTCGAACCGCGGGGGATGGGGGCGGGTGAGCAGCATGATGGTCTGGGTCGATGCGCGCGGCGACGAGGACGGCGAAGAGCTGGTCGGGGGCGGCACCGAATTCCCGCTGTTGAGCATCCCAGGGCAGAAGGAGCGATGGTGTCGTTTCGTGGACTGCGGGAAGCGTGGAAAGACGGCGGCGGCGGCTGAGTCTGAGACGGGGGCCGATGCTGGCGGCGATGAAGACAAGGGGGTCGTGTTCAAGCCTGTCCCGGGGAATGCGGTGTACTGGGAGAATTTCCGCGCTGACGGGAGCGGAGCGGGTTACGAGGAGACGTGGCATGCCGGTCTGCCTGTCGAGAAGGGCATCAAGGTTGGCCTTAACATTTGGAGCACGGGAAGGATAGACTAGGTTGACGATTCGCGCCACGAGAAGCTGCAATGTATTATTAGATGATGGTGTAAGCATGAGCCAACACAGGCTTCGAAACCGAAAGGCTTTGTGTCACGGTCTTGACATGTTCAAAGATCTTATAAGCGGCCTGTTCTGGTGTCAACTCCGTGACGTCCAGTTCGAGCTCCAGATCCCCTCCAAAGCGAAACATCTGCTCTTCCTGCCTGATATCCTTCAGGATGTTGACATCTGTTAGCTTCCCGTTTGCAGCTCCACCCCGACCGCTCCCCGTGACCCTCTTGATGTTCTCTTCCAACTGACACTCCAGGGCGATGGGAATGAAAGGCAGACCCCTCCTTCTGGCAGCGTCCTCATATTCTTGAGCAGCGGCGCTGCCAACGGGACTCGAGCACCGCGCGTCTGTGAATATGTACGTTGTGTTTTGATGTAAATCAGATGTGGCGATGGTAAGTAAGGTGTTGCGGCGGTGGAAGGCCCTCATCAGGTTATAGTCTGGATGGTCTCGATTGATGTGGACGAGGTCGATGATGCGATGGTTGTCCCAGACCTCGCTTCCTGGGAAAAGTTTGGATAGCTCCCTAGCTATCGTGAGCTTCCCGACGCCGGGGTAGCCGTTGATGTAAATGTATTGAGACATCGTGATGGGTGGAGCTGTGTGCCAGGATGTAAGTGAGGACGGTCTTTTCGCACAAATAGTTCACATTCACGTTTTAGTCGAGATATATTCAGATAATGCAAAACGATCTACCCGGATGGATTCTTTTTCAAAATTTGAACCTGGATATATTGCGAGTCATCACTGTTTGTTTCTTTGCGATCCGGGTACGTGTTCCCCGCGGTGAGTCAGCGCGGCTCTGTCCTCCCTTTCAGCTTTTCGCAGCATGTAGTATCAAACAGAAGAAGCCAAATTACGTAGTTGAAGGACACAACGTGTAGGCAAATGTAAGACTATGCAGATTGAAACAGTCTTTTTTTTTCTTCTTCACTGTCTACGCGATTGTATATCCTGTGCCTTGAATATTCCTTAGACTAAAAGTATTAGTACAAAAAGAGATTAAGTTAACAAGAGCAAAAGCGACGATACTAGAGATAGTAACAGCAGAACCAACACTAGAAATATCAGAAATATAGGCACTGTATCACAGTCCAAGTAAGTGTTTTTAAATATTACGACGTTTCGCCGACTGAGCTTATCACCACGAACCATGAACATTACAGCTGCACTCTCTAACGTTTTTCTTGCCGATGACCCACAATGTAGTTTGCGAACATTTTCGAGGCTTCCCATCACCATTCTATAACCCAGCTTCTTCATGCCGGCCTGCTTACTAGACATCCTTCACGACCACCACCGTATCACCAAAATCTCCACCATCACACCGAAACATCCACAATCCTTCGCCCGTTATCTCTCCAACATCTCAACTCCTCCCGCTAGGATACCATTCCAGCGCTGTCATAGTCCAGATGGCGGCACACAGGACGTGGTCATCCCACCAGTAGCCCTGAAACCCCCAATGCCACCACACCGAGTCACGGAAATCTTCACACCCAATGCGACATGCGGTTCCGAGAACTTGGATTCAATAGCGTGTGATGTGTGCCGTGATCCCTCGCATCTTGATTTGGTCTTGATCATATAATCCGGGATCCGAATCGGACGTTGTTCCAAAAACAAAAAAATGAGGCGGACGATCGCCGTGGTTGGTCCAGAGAAGCCTCACCCGATCAGCGCCGATGCGCGAGAGAAATGCGTTGGTCGCCTCGTCTTACTACGTCAGCCCGTTGACAGATCCGTGGCCGGCCAATAGTACAACATGGATGCACGTCGACGATAACAACATCTCCACATGCGCATTGTTGTTCTCATGCAGCGACATGTGGCTTGTCTGAAGAATACGAAGTTCGATGCTGAAATATTGATAAGTGATACGACAATCTACCTAACCCCCTCTTGAACCAACCCGCTTTGCAAACCAGACATGACTACCTACCTATCCTACACATCGCGCACAAACACCGTCCTCGCCAACACCAAATGACATTTTGAGAAGTGAAGGTGATACCAGTCACAAGATGCTCTCCGTAGCCTTGCCTTATGCAACCTTGCCCATGCACCACGCCCTTTTTTTTTGTAATCCGAACCAATGCAACAGACACCCTTGATAAACCCAATGCAAGGTAAGATTGTTGTAAACACAGATTCGAAAATGATTGGAGTCGATATAGTGCCGGAGACTTGAAGCTTTGCATTCTCCCCCTGCTGTTTTTTTTTCTCATTCTCGGCCAAGGTCCGTTTCCCAGGCGTGAAGTCACGACAGTGACGGGGCTTCAAGGGAGGATCCAGCCATACAACATCGGAACGACCGAACATGCTTTCGCGGCCGCAAACAGCCCCTGATCACGCCACACCATTTATCACACCATGGGGACCTCCCCGAGTCAATGTTGACCATGGTGGTGCGTTGGTGGAGGAGGCGGGGGAGGTGGGACGATGCTGGCGTCGTGGTCGACTTCAATCTCGAACATGGGGATCTCGTCCGCCTTGAAGTACATGCTGAGGTCGTCGCCCGCCGAGGCAGAGATGGAGTACATGTCGTTGCCAAAGGCAACACGCCTCACCTTGGCACCGAGACCCCAAAGGCGGCCGGGCGTCATCTCCTGGGGAACAACGTTGTCAAACGACTGCCAGTTGGCGCGGACGTGGGCGAGGGCCGTCCTCTGCATTGCGCGGTGGCTGGCCTGACAGTGCTCGACGATCTTCTTCTCTCCGTGGCCTGCCCATCCGATGACGAGGCGGACAGGCTTGCCGGGCACCGACGGAGGTGGGGGCGGCGCGGAAATGGAGACAGTCCCCGGGGGTGGGGGCGCCATGGAAGGGGGACGCATTCCTGGTGGGAACCTGCCTGGAGGCGGCAGGGGAGGTGGAGGCCCTTGGCCGGGAGCGCGAGGATAGACGCGCGTGGGGGGGCCTCTCCAGCCAGGAGGCGGAGGGGGAGGCGCCGAGCTGTTGATGGGAACTGCCGGGATATAGGATGGGCGCGCAACCGGGGGAGGCGGGCGCCTTCTCGGCAAGTCCTCTTCGGAGGAGCTATCTTCCTCAGAGGAGGAAACGTGCTTCTTGGACTTTTTCTTATCCTTGCGACGGGAAGCCTTTGTCTTCTTGCGACGGGATGATGGGATCTCATCGTCTTCGCTCTCGGACGAGACAGCAGATAGAGAAATAACCTCATCCAGTGTCGATGCTTCGCTGTCAGAGCTATCCGAGTCGTTCTTTGTGCCACGAGGGAATCCGAAGCCATTCAGCTCAACAAACTGGAAGACTTCCTGAGCCGACTTGGTATGGAGTGTCTCGTAGGCGTCCTCGAGGTCGCGGCCTGTTGCTGAAAGAACCTCCTGGCGTTTGCCCTTGTGCACCTTCACTGCGTAGATGGTGTACGACTTGTTGGGATGGCGTGAGGTATAGATGTCGATGAAGGCACTGCGTCCGGATATCAGGCGCAAGTTGTCTAAAGCAGTGTTAGCAGGTAAAATGTCTAAGTTTCAGTTAGCAGTGATGAAGACATACCCATAATCTGCTCGCGCCAGGCGAGGCATAATGGGTTAGGTGCCATGTTCGTCGGTTTGGGACAACGACTGAGTGGTATTGCTTCGCGAATGTCGTTCACAAACACTATCATATGCAAGATGGGATCGAAAGCTGTATAGACCATGCAGGAAGGGAAGGAGAAGAGGGTGTAGGTCAAGCTGACATCTTATACAGGCCTCGTCGAAGATGCCTTCCCTTTTCACCCGTCCCATCTCAAGAGGCTGGCATGTTTTGCCATAGCTGCAAACAGTAGCCCATGGTTCAGCCAGGGCGGACGGATAGATGAGGCGGGCAGGTGTAGCCTGATGTGTACAACGTTTGGTCTAAGACAGGTGTGATGAATATCCTACCTTAACAGAGGCATTCCACTGTGGCCCAGTCGACGAGGAAGAAGCTGATGCGCTATGACCCATCTGGTCTTCGGCTTGGCCAATGTACGGACAACCTGCAGATAAACAGCCTGCAAGGGGAATGGGGACGAAAAAAGAAGGTATATCGCCCGGGGTTGGAAGGGCCTTGGACTGTGACTGGACAGAAACGGGAGCAAATAGCTGGAGGGGGCTGAGAAGCAAGGCCAAGGCATCAGTCCAATCAGGCTCTGCAGATACCCATGGTATCAAGAAAATTTGCTGCATAGTCATCCTTTCTTTTTGTTGGGTCTCCAGGGCTACTGTACCCTGCATATCTTGTCTTCACGATGTAGTTTTGAAATCTGAATGCGTGTGAGTGCGAATATGGACACCTGGAATTGCACTTTGCGGTCGACGCGGAGCCGCATATTTCCCGAAAGGATGACCGGCCGACCACGCTTTCGATCTGGCGTCAGTATAAAAACGGTCGTCCCAAATGTCTCTGCTGGCACGAGTAACGCTGGGCAAAATTCCACACAGCAGATCCTTTCGGCAGAGCCCGAACGCAGCCCAATCTCATCGTCGTGGCAGCTCGCGAGCCTCTCGTCCATTTTCGAAAACATCGGTTCCGTCCTCGTTTCCACGAAAACCCATTTTTCGTTTTCGGTAAATGCCGAGCAGCTGTCGTCATCTTCAGGCCGCACCGCCGTGACAGCCCTGTGGAGAGGATTGTCCGGATGCCTCGAGGCCCAAGTGAGACATCCCGCGCGTTGATGGTGGTGGTTACGCTCAGGTTGCGAGAGGGCAAGCGGCGTCATGACTTTTGGTACCAAAGCACTGGACTGAAGGGGAAAAAAGCCCGGCGTAACAAGAGCTGAGGTAGTTGATTTTGTGACCATCTGATGTTTAGTCGGGGAAAGCTTGGTGCGAGGGTATGCCTGTGAAAGTATGGGCGATCCCGCCCTGCGGCAGTACAGACAGGGAAGTTGCTGCCGCTACAGCTCCAAATCGGCAGGGGAGGTCCGAGATGAAAGTGTCAAGAACTGGCTGCGGTGCGCGTTTGGAAGACTAGAAGCGAGAAAGAAGCAAACTGCCAGACGTGCTTTGAAGGCAACGCTATGCACAACCTTTTTTTTCTCCCACGAGGACGACGAGGCCCGACCGCCACGTCTCAATCTCAATCAGTGGAACAATGCCCAAGGAAGCACTGCGTTGTTACGCTGCAGGTCGGAACTTGGTTGTGCCCTTCTACCCGTCCCGCACCGAGAGACATAGCATCTGCTGCGAATCCGGAACGACGCAACACAGTTGGGCATCAAAGTGGTCGGTTCTGGTGTTGGTGTGCACCCTAGCTGCAGAATGCAATATGCAGGCAAGACCGATGTCGATGTGATAGGTGAGATCAAACGAGGCGGGAGGCAAATTCGTTCAATTGGCCAACGCCTGCAGATAAGTCAGTCTAGAATCACACTGTCGATCTGACACCCGACGATCAACTCAGACACGATCCTTCCGTCAACTTCAACGACCACCAGGCTCAAGGCTACGGGCGTATTTAGCCAGCATCTCCTTGCGATTGACGATACTAAGCAACTGGGCGCCACAGCCTCGACGACAATCGTTGCCCGAGTCAGTAGGTCTTCGCTTGGAATCGACCTTAAAGTCAGGCAACGGTGCTACTGAAACGAAAAGCTCATG